GTGGCTTTTCCTTCTCAGTGTGCTCTGCACTCACTGCATTTTCCTTTTGTTCTTAGACACTTTACGTGGAAGAACATGAAGTTTCAGGCTCCCAGGGAGACCTCAACATGAACTTATTCAACATAAACTTATTTCAAATCTCTGTAACTTTGTGTATGTGCAGAAGTGCCTTTATGCTGGGGGAATTTGAAAATGAGAAAGTGAGACCCTGGAAAAGCTCACACGCCTTTGAAGAGGACGATTTGGTGACATGGGAAGAGCCTTCTAGAAAAGGAGTTTTGATCTGAGGACATGCCAAAGGCAAGGATGTTGGAGTAATTTTAAAGTTACTGGCTGCTCCAGTGAAAGCACGTGTTTCTCATTCAGCAGGCAGTAATCAGGCATTTGTATGCCCCTGTGCCCTTGCAGGAGGTAGATGAGCAGGTGTAACTGTGAGGTGGAAATGTGTACCTACTGAGATGGCACATTGCTCTCTCTGCTTCTGTTTGCTGGCCCTGGGGGATCTGGGACTAGTTCCCCGAGCAGACACAAGTTGTCTTTGTTAGGGACCAGCGTTGCCTCCAAGTTACTGTCATGAGTTGTACCTTCTGATGGGAATCCATGTCTTGTTCTGGGGATCATTAACTCAGAATCAGGAAGAATTCGAATTGCAATGAAGTGCACAAGTGTTTTCAGACCTGCACAGTTTCTTGCTCACTTTCTTATTCTGGCTGATGGACACTTTAGTTACCACATTAAAAATGGGGTAGTGTCAGCAAGAGGCTGTGTGGCTCTGGGGAGTTCCCCAGAGGCAGGGCTGTTCAGGGTGCACAGCTGTGAGATTGAGAGTGTAGGCAGAATATGCCGAGTGCTTTCCGGCAGCTGCAGCCATTGGACAGACTCCCTGGCTTTGGGATGAGGAACTTGATGCTGCTGTTCCATTTGCGTCTCCATCACCATTCCCTCCTTGCACAGCCCCCAAATATAAAAGCATTTTCCTAGTTCCATAGAGGATCAACAGATGCACTGTGCCTCTCATGTAATATAATCACTGCTGGTGATTGAAATGGAAATATCACTATAATATAGCAAGAAGATGTCAGTGACTTCTCTTCAGCTGTTTCCACTTTGTGAGGAGTACCTGTGGAAGTGGAGTTCTGTCTAGTATAGCATGCTGCGAGACAGTGGTGTTTTTCTGTGGCTCTTTACTGTCCAAAATATTGTAAAGATTGAAACTGCTGTGATTGTGAAGAGTCTGTGGCTATAGTTTCAGGAGATGTGTTTTGTTGTGTTTTTTTTCTCCCCATAAACTAACAAGAAATTTGTTGCCTCAGGAGATGAAGTCAAATGAATTTCTGAGATGCTGCACCCTGTCATATAGCAACATTTCAGCCTTATGCTTAGGGGAAATTGACTGCAAGGATGAGGAAGCAGAGCTCTGCGTCTGCAGTGGTTGTGGCTGGATTTCGCATCCCATTGCTTTCCATTGAAGCGTTAAATAGTGACTACTGCTGGAGACAGGATATTAAACTTGGTGCGATCATGTGTGTGCTTCTTAGAGCTTTTGATTCTTAAGAGGTGAATGAACTCCCTTATTATAAAACTTTTGTTCTAGTCCTTGTAATTAAATAACATAATAAAAATGTTGTATAATGTATATGTAATTTCTAGTTTTGATTTACAAAGGCAAGTCTAAACCTGTGCGTAACTCCCTCCTGCTGTGCTTAGGAGCTGGTAGGCAAGGTAAAATGCTTTGTCAGCAAAGCAAAAAAAGTAATTAGAACTAACTTTCTGTTGCACTGGAAAGAAACCACTGTATTCTTGCCACCTCAGCCACAGTATTTCCAATAGATAGACTTCAATGTTTGCTTAATTATGATTTTGAGTTGTTCTTACAAACTGTAACCTGGTGAGTCTTTTTTCTTACCCCTCTTTTTGTTTGTGTTTTTTGTTTGTTTGTTTGTTTGTTTGTATTGTTTTTATGGTTGGTTTGTTTTTTTTGTTTTTGTTTTTGTATTGTTGTTTAATGGAGGTTTTCTTGTTTTTTGGAGGGGGTTTTGGGGTTTTTTTTGTAGTACCCATCCTCATATACTCACCTTGATCCTGTTCTAGCTTCATACCAGGCCAAAAGTTGGTTGAAGATCTCTTAATGGTGTTACTTTGTTTCTTTCCAGGAAAGAAACTGGTGTTGGAGCTGGAAGGGGGCTGTAGAATGCCTAGGAGACTTTGAAACTACTTGGTATGAGACCAAGTCTGAGCCAAGATGACAGAGAATCTGCTGAAGTGCTGTGCTTACAGGGTCAGAACATAGCACCTACATCACTGATACTACCTCTGTACTAATTGAAAAGATAAGAAAGATGCAGGCTAGGGGCAGCATTCTCTGTCTTTTGCTGCCAAGTGGCAGGATGCAACTCTTGTCCACAGTGGCTAAGCTGTCAGGTCTTTGCCAAAACCCAGGCACCCTTATCCAGCCTGCCTGCTGGGAATGGTTCTGGCACCTGCTTCATCCTGCGTTATCCAAGGCCTGGGCCAAAACCCTGAAATGTGCTAATTGTTAAACAGTATGGCCAGTACTGGAGTCTTCTTCACAAGTAGCCGCTTAGCCCAGCTTATGATAGCTTCCTGACAGATTTATTGGTTCTTTTAAACATAGAGCCGTAGAAATTTAGTTGGAAGGGAGTTCTGGAGGTTACCTAGTTCCAGCTTTCTAGAAGGAGCAGAATGTGGCTGGCTCAGAATTAGAGTCCTAAAGGTAGCTGCAGGGTTTTAAAGAAGTCTCATTTAATGGGAAATGTAAATTTCTCTTTTATTTTTCTTGCTTTCAGTGGGATTTGGCAGAGCCCTGTGGTAAGTCTGTAGTGCAAGGTGTGTGTCCTCTGCAAGTATAGTATGTCACTAATCCTAGACAAACTTTTTGCCTGGGTAGGTGTCAGAAGTGCTTGTCTTTGCAATGCTGCAGGCAGCATGGTAGCACCTGTGTGTCCTCTAGGCAGGCTCCAGCTGTTCTTGATCTCTCCTCAGTTACTTAAGGGTACACTTTCTCAGTAATCACATGGAATATTTCTACTTCTGCTGCTAAATTTCTGCTTGAATACTTTGTTTTATAATCTTCCACTCAACCTCAGGAATATATTAGGCATCTTACATCTTAATGTGGCTATCACAGAATAACGTAAGTTGGAAAAGACCTCAGAAGATCATTGAATCCAACCATTAACCTAACACTGACAAGTGTGCTACTAAAATATGTCCCCAGGTGCCACATCTGGGCATCCTTTAAATACCTCCAGAAATGGTGACTCAACCACTTCTCTGGCCAGCTCATTCTAATGCATGATGACACTTTCAGTGAAGAAATCCTTCCCAATATCCAATCTAAACATCCCCTGGCACAGCTTGAGGCTCTTTCCTCTTGTCCCGTCACTTGTTACTTGCGAGAAGAGGCCAACCCCCACCTGGCTACAACCTCCTTTCAGGTAGTTGTAGAGGGCAGTAAGGTCCTCTCTGAGCCTCCTTTTCTCCAGACTAAGTACTCCCAACTCCCTCAGCTGATCCTCATAGGTCTCTAGACCATTCAGCAGCTTCATTGCCCTTCTCTGGACTCACTCCAGCACCTCAGTTTTTTTTTTTGTACTGAGGGGCCCAGAACTGAACATAGCACTAGAGGTGCAGCCTCACCAGTGCCAAATTCAGGGTGACAATCACTGCCCTGGTCCTGCTTGCCACACTATTTTTGATACAGGCCAAAATGCCATTGGCCTTCTTGGCCCCTTGGGCACTGGCTCATGTTCAGCTGCTGTTGGCCAGCACCCACAGGTCCTTTTCTGCTGGGCCACTTTCCAGCCACTGCCCCCAGCCTGTAGCACTGCTTGGGGTTGCTGTGATCCAAAGTGTGGGACCAGTGCTTCACCTTGCAGAACCTTAGGCAAATTGGTCTTGACCTGTCAATCCAGCCTGTCCCAGGTCCCTCTGCAGAGCCTTCCTGTTCTCCAGCAGATCGACACTCCTGCCCAGCTTGGTGTCAGTCATCTGCAAACTGGCTGAGGGAGCACTCAGTCCTGTTGTCCAGATTACTGATAAAGATATTGAACAGGACTGGCCCCAGCTCTAAGCCCTGAGGAACACCACTGGTGACCAGCCACCAGCTGGATTTAGTTCCATTCCCCACCACTCTCTGGGCCCGGCATCCTTCCAGTTTTTAACCTGTCGAAGAGTACAAAATGTGAGCAGCCAGTTTCTCCATAAGAATGTGGTGTCCAAGGCTTTAGTAAAGTCCAGATGGACAATATCCACAGCTTTTGCTTTAAACGCTAGGCAGGTCACCTTGTCGTAGAAAGGGATCAGATGAGTCAAGCAGAACTGGCTGGGAGAAGAGGAGAAAATTTGGGAGATAATTGGTGCCTCTGACTGGGATGAGGAATTTCTGAATTCCAGACGTTTATTGAGCACTAAATTAGTATATGGTTTTTACTGTCTTTTATCTGTCTGTAATATTGGAATTATGAGATGGATTTCTTATAGAGTGATGTGAACACTGGTTAGATCATATATATTTGGTTATGGGAACTGTAGTGTTCAGGATGATTTCTTCTTACTTATTTCATCTCTGATTGTGAACATTCCTTTGTCCTATGGCAGCCAAGGGAGGAACCAAGTCAGGCTCTTTGAAGAGAAACTGCATTTTTTTCTTTGTTTGAAATTTCACAACATAACCTAGAAATCAGGGGTGCTATTGACATCAAAATGGGAAAAATACTCCCTGAAAGCAAGCTGTTACACATTATCCTAGTGAAATAACCATCTCTGTACATGTCAAGTTAAAGTATGGCTTGAGTTTTTTTTTTCCTATGGCTTCACTGTCTCCTAATTAATTATTTGTAATTTCATACTAAATGGTTATTCAACAGTAGAGGGTGGCAACTTTTTGGTACTTCTAAGTAAAAATTACTTTGGTGGTTATGGCTGCATATTTTGCAGCTGGATGTTTCGGCATCTCATTGCTTCTGTTCCTGTTACAGGTGCGTGTGACAGCATTGCAGCAATGAGTGGAATTTTAAAGAGGAAGTTTGAAGAAGTTGATGGCTCTTCACCTTGTTCCTCTGTGCGGGAATCAGATGATGACATTTCTAGCAGTGAAAGTGCTGACAGTGGTGATAGCGTCAATCCATCCACTTCTAATCATTTTACCCGTAAGTACTAAATCTGTGTGTTTAAGGAATGATTCCTGTTTCTGAAAATAAAGTAAATTTTATGGTTCGATAAGCATGATGATCTTTAATTGAACAGATGATAAAATGGACTCCCTGTGGTGTTTAGTTTGTGACTTGCTCAAACTGACTTAGTAAGCTTGTGTCCTTTTGACTTCTTGTTAATTATACAAAACTTTTTTTCATTGAAGAAGTTGAAAGTCACTTGGAAGCTCCTACCTATTTGCTGTTGGAATTATGTAGGTGTTCGTAGTTAACACTGGGAGTTGTGTTTGAAGTATTTCAAACAGGTACTGTACGGAAAGTGTTTTATATAAGTTTGTTTATTTTCCTTAGATAAATGCAGTACCTCTGTCAGCTGTCTGCAGTAATGCACTGGTGAGAGTTCTTCTACAAAGGAAATAGAAGCTTTCTTTTATTTGGAATTGAGGAATGTTGTGTATGGGACACATTATTTCAGTGGTTTCTGTTCTTCATGTAGCACAGGGTATCCCTGTGCTTAGGCAATAGGTTTGTGTACGGATAAGAATTTGGTCTAAAGTTAGCAAAGCTGTGTGTGCATCGTATGTTTCTGGGAAAAATTAGTTTACTGTTTTATTAGTTTGCAGTTAATGATGTTTGTTTTACGTGGTTATATTGTTTTAAAAGTGAACTGCACATTTTAAAAAGCAGGAGTTTGCCTCCTTCAACCCTGTTGCAATATAGATCTCCCTACTGGAGTTAATTTGTGAAGACTGTGAGCTGAGGAGTAGGTGAGGCTCCTCATCACTGCCCATACACAGTGTGGTTTGGATTGTGCCAGGAAATCATGTTTGTAGCACGGGCTGTGAATGTTCTGATAACTGATTCCTCTCCCAAATACTGCTGTGCAGTTTGAGCTGGGGTTTGGATGTGAGGGTCCGAATCCTCTTTGCTCTAGTGTGGAACTCTCCTGTGCGAGGAGGGCACAGGCACAACTTTTCAAGTGGGTTTCGTGGAACACTGTCGATGTGCTCTATTTAAGATGCAGCATTAGTAGGGGACCTATTTTATTGAAGTGCCACAAGGGAGTAAGCAACTTGGTAAACCTCTTTGGTAGTATCAAGAAATATCTTGTTAACAATATTGTCTGCATGCTGATATTTTAACTTTTATTGAAGGAATTAGTTGATGATTCATCAAAGACTGAAAACAGTCTTTTTACATCAAGCAGTCATTCCCACTCACATAGAAGATAACAATTTTATTGTGAATACACACATAATAGAAAGAAAACAAATAAGTCAGGGGAGAAACTTGGAAGTTGTAATATATGCATGTAACAAAAAGCTTTAATTTAGTTGACACAATAAATAGTTTAGTTTTTGAATAAAATCTACAAGGCAAACTATAGCATTTCAGTGTTCATTCACTATGACTAATGATCTATCTAACTGAGATATTGGTGGCCAGAATAATAAATGTTTATCTGTGTGTGCACTCACACACACATGCTTGTAGAAATTGTACAGATTACATTTTTTTAATACATATATCTCTCAATCAGTTGGCAGTATGGAAATAGAAAAAGGTAATGATTTGCATGTGCATTGATGCTACTTTTTAAAAAATATTGTCTTTAATTTAGATGCACCAGCCTAAATTCCAAGAAATCAAATACAGAATGCCAGTATTATATAACGTTGGTCTGGGAAAAAAAGACTTGAATCGATGGCCTTGGCACTACGTTTGAATAGGCAAACCTCAAGGTCCTCAAGGAAAAGGCTTTTGGAGACTTTTATCAGTGTCTGAAATTGTGCTTTGCTCTTACTGTAATGCAGCATGCTTGCAGGAGCTTTATAAAGGTGATCATTTTTTATTGGTAAGAAAATAGAGGATATTGATGGTCAGGTGGAGAATGAAAAGATTGTTTAATGCCTACTTAATTGCATGCTTCTTGCATTCAAACTCTCTTCCAGTGTGCATCTTTGTTTTGTAGCTTTACCAAGGACACTCCATGTTGCACATGATAGAGAAATAAGATTTTGTCAGTCCATTATTTAAATGCTTCAAGTGAGATTTTGCACCTTCTTCTTCTCTCTTAATAGTAAAGCATATCAGTTACTTACATATTTACACAATCAATATCTACCAATCGAGCGGTGTTAGAAAAATCACTTTGCCAGCCTTAGGCACATCTGCTTTTTACATAAGAGGAAATCTGCACTAAAAAGATGAGTCTCAGTGATGATGTATTATACTAAAAGTTATGTGTTTGCAATAAAAATTAATCATGTTTATATTTAACATTAAAACTCTGAAAGATAACTGACTATCTCTAGTGACAAACAGGGCTTTTCAGGGCAGGAGCACTTTCCTTTGTGGGAGCCCCCGGTGGTCCAGGGGAAAATTCACTGCACTGTCACTGCAGAGATCCGGGTTCGATTCCCGGTCGGGGCCCCTCCCCGGGCAGATGGAGCTCGTTAGCCCATAAGGCAATCCATCTACGTCCTGAGGACCTCGCTGCCACCGTCCAAGTGTGCTTGGCCTCGGCAGATGAACCTCAGGATTAAAGGGTGGGCTCAGTTCCGCGCACACTGTGTCTCACCTAAAAAAATCCAATGCGCAGGCTGGAAGGTGGAAAGACCTTCCCCGGTTCTTCGTTCGCGAAGAGACTGGCCACCACCACTTTCCTTTGTATATACTTAGATTTTTATTTTTTTTTTACCTTCTAGATTTTTTAGACAGTTTTATTTGAAAAAGCATATTTTGAGTTCTAGGAAGTGATAAAAAATGAACTGATCATACTGAAATAAATACTCAGTCTTGTCAGAGCCAAATATGTGCAAATTGTCAGTGCTATGGCTCATGAATACAGAGGTGTCTCACAGAGCTACTAAGTGATGCTTAGCTAAAAACGCCATGCAGATGTGTTGTACAGTAATGAAACTGTTAACAGTGTACACTGGGAGGTGTTTTGTTCATGCTTTAAACACATTCATCTCCTAAAATGAAAGATAAGAGCTTTTCCATGTCGAATATTTGAATCTGTACTGTTAAGGATGAGGTCTTTTCCAGTAAGCAGACAGAAAAGAGCCAGTGCAGAAAAAAGGCTGGCCAGATTCCTGTTACATGCCCGAGTACCTCCTTGGTGGAGGTTATCTTTCTAAGCCTTTTCCTGACATGTTATACCATTTGTCTTTGGTGAGATATTGTCAGATTCTGTGGACTGTCTTCCTTCTGGTCTGTTTTCATATAGGTAAATACGAAGTTCAGTATATACTCTCTTTTACTCACTGGAAATGGGGGGTTGTAGATGACCTGTAGTCAACATCAAGAGCTATATGTTGATTATGAAACTGAGAATTTAAAAAAAATCCTAACATGGTCCTCTAAGTCTTATTTTTCCTTACTAATTGACCTGACAAAGAGATAATTTAAAATCACTTGTAACTACAGCCCTTTCAGTGCTTCAGCAAGCAGGCAGTTGGTGTATAAATCTATCTAGAATAGCTGATGCACCTCAATATTTACACAACCCTTGAAACAGTATGTATTGGGTCAGATAAACAAGAGCTTTTCAGCTATCCTGCTCCATTAGCCTTAAGGTCAGTTTAACCTGCCAGCTAAATGTGGCACACAGCTGCTGTGGATCAGTCAGGTGGGGCAGAACTACCAGAAGATACCTTTGTTCTCAGCAGTTAACCCTGCAGTGTGATGGCAGGAAATACATGACTGAGATGTCCTGGAGTGCTGACTACTACACAGGGGTAAGTACAGGGTTTCTTTAAGTGTTTAAACAAATAGAGACACAAATGACGACAACAAAAAATGAGTAAATCCCTAGCCTAAGTTACAGGCTTCTGAGTTAGTAAATGAAAATTATGGTCTATAAAGAATAGACAACTGTTACGAGGTTTGTAACAAAAAAAAAAAAAAAAAAAAAAAAAAAAAAAAAAAAAAAAAAAAAAAAAAAAAAAAAAAAAAAAAAAAAAAAAGTATTTTCTTGACCAGGTGTGTGTATTTTTACATATGTGCACATTTTTAAATCTCTTAGCAAATGGTGTTGGAGTGCCTTGATTTCTGCTGGCAGATATAATCCCTACTGCCTTTTTTACTCACCTTTCTCAGTCTATTGAGGTAATTTCAGTTTGATTCAGCAGGTCATTAGTCACACTGCAGATTTACCTTAATGGATGCCAAATCATATTACTAATTAGTCCCCATGCCTGTCCCATTTCACAGCCCCACCTTCATCTCAGAAAGAAGGATGTTCATCTTCAAGTAGCAGTCCAAGTTGGCATATACAGTATGGGCAGGACTAATAGCATGTGTTCTTTTTTTCCTTAGGAATACATGGAATGCAGGGCAGGAGCACTCACAATGCCATTTCAGCTCCTTTAAATTGCCCTGTTCAGTTAGGGCACTTCACTGCTGTGTTTCATCAGCTCCACAGGGAGCTGATGAATCTGGAATTGCTGTTCAGGATGTCAGTAAAACACCCTGACCACTCCTGGGACTGTGTGCGCTGAGGGACATGGGCTTCCACATTCCTGCTCAGGTGTGGGGGATATGTGCCCTTCCAGAGAAGGGCGGTGAAGCTGATAAAGGGTCTGGAACAAAGTCCCATGAAGAGTGGCTGAGGGAGCTGGGGCTGCTCAGTCTGGAGAAAAGGAGGCTCAGAGCAGACCTTACTGCTCTCTAGAGCTACCAGAAAGGTTGTGACAAGGTGTTGGTTTGGTCTCTTCTCCCAGACAAGGGGAAATGGCCTCAAATTGTGCCAGGGAGTTTCAGGTTGGATATTAGGAAAAACTGCTACAGTTTTTCAGGAAAGAATAGTTAAGCATTGAACAAGCTCTCCAGGGAAGTCACCATCCCTGGAAGTGTTCAAAAAACAAGTAGACATGGCACTTCACAGTAGAGTTTAAAGGGTATGGTGGTATTTGGTCAAAAGTTGGACTGGATGATCTTGGAGGTCTTTTCCAACCTTAATGATCTATGATTCTGTGATTCTTCCTGCCTTT